TCAAAACATGTTCTCATGATAGATAGCAACTAAGGCCTGCTGGGAAATGAACCTGTAGCACACCACGTTATTGTCCTGAACCCCATTACTCTTAGTGGAAGATTGTTTTTAACCTAATCTGATCATGCATCACTCCAGACAGCTTATTACAAGCTTTTCTACAGTAGACATTGTGGACTTTGGCACCTTGTCTACTTGCTTTTAAGCACCCGGCTGCTAAAATGATAGCTCGACAGCTATCTTTCTTTTTCCTCAGGTGATGACAATGCTTGACCCCCCTCTAGTTCTGTTGTGTCCTTTTGCAGATTTTATGACTATTCTTGCCCTTCAGTTTAAATCAGCGAGCTTACTCCTCAGGCTACCTTCAGTTGAGAAAGAGTTTACATGTGTTATGTGCTTGTCACACAGTAATCTAACATGTCGCCATCTTTTTTTGTATGTGTTAGTCATATCCATTCTTTGGTGTTTATTGTTGCAGATGGTTTTTTGAAATTGCAACAATACTTCTGCAAATGTGTGGGTTTTTTGGGCTTTACAAAGCCCACTCTAGACAAAACACTGTAAGTCAGTTATAGTAAAGTAAACAGGTTTCCTATTGCTGTCTTAAGGCAGACTTTTTGGATTTTTGTTGTACTGAGCACAACAGCACCTATGATGATAAGAAAATACATGATCGGGGCTGATTTCTTTCTAGCCCAGACTGTAGATTTATGCAGCCTATCAGTGACGGTTGTGTCAGATAATTATACAAAGTGAAACACCCCTTAGATTTGATCTCCATTTTGGCTGATATTTTTCAGCCCACATTGCTGACATGTGATTGATATAACATGTCATCAAAAGTGAATGAGAAGGTGCATGTGAAATACTGTAGAGGGTGTAATGAATGTAAATGAGGTGTATTATTTACTCTGTCCTTTTCCCCCTTTGGAGAAAAAAATAAAAGTAGGTAGACTAAGAGCACACTCTTCAAATTACACAAAAGGACAGATGACAGAACCAAAAGTGTAGTTTTTTTTTTTTTTTAATCGAAAGGGTCACAATTTTTTTTTTACACCATATTTGGTATTCAGAGGAAAACCAGTAAGGCATGAAACATGCTTGAAACACATCCGTATAATATCACAAACACCCATCACTGGTTTCAATGTCTTGTAAGTAATTGCATGAACAGCCTAATTGGCACAAATGAATGGGGACAGGATGTTTTATGCTTCAGAAGGGACTTAGGCACAAACAATCTATTTGTCTTTCAGCATGTATGCAAATGAAGGTGTCTTGCATTTTATTGGAGTAATCCACCCAAACATCTTGAGTAGATAATGTAAATGAATGGCAACTGAATGGTGGCTCTGCTGTGCTTCATACAAGTTTGACTGTAATTGGGTTTACTTAAGCAGTTAATTGTTATTATACAATGAAATTACTAACAAAACCAACATTATTCCTCTTATTAATACAAATCAGAAAGCAAGACAAACGCACAGTTGCCTGCTACCTATTTACTTTGAAAATACTGCTTTTTTTTTTCAAAAGGGTCATCTCCAGATGTAAACTGGAAAGGTGAATTTCACTTTGCCAATTATTTCTGCCAGAAAAGACCCTCAGAGTGAAACTAAAGAAGAGGTAATTAAAAGACATTGAATGTTAAAATCTACTCACATTAGATTGCTTTACTCAGTGGGCCTTGAGAAAATGTGGCCTATTTTAAAACTAATTTGCTGTAATTATCCAGTTTTCACATTTTAAGTTGTGAGAAAGGAACGAACCGGATAAAGCTGAAACTGTGCCATGTACCTCATTTACATCTACTAGCATGATTAACCTGCACGCCAGTGTGTTTTTGTGTCCTGAGTTTCTACACTTTCTCATTCACACTGTAGGGCAAAATGAAGTTTTTATTCAATCTCTAGGACTGTGAAAGTAATGTAATAATAATGAATCAGACTGAATTAGTGTGAAAAGAGGTTGAGCACTTGTTAATTAGGGATTCAAGTGTACAGCAGAGAATGCGTAATAAGGAATAATATTATTTTGCATGACTAGCCAGGCAGAACTCTTTCAAAACTTTGCTCATCACTTTCTCAAGGGCACTGTGAATAGACATGATGTCACTGACCATTTTCATTATGAAGCTAATTATAGAATAACTAATTATAGGTTGTAAATGCTTCTCTCTCCCTGTGTACACAATATTTCCTTTGTATCTCGTTCCAGGGTGCTGGAGAATTTAAATTGGGGTAATGTACAATTTCAGAGATAACCACCTGTTTAATTGCAATTAAGTGCAAATTCTGTCAAACGCACTTGGACTTGTCATATTTCATGCAGGGTGGCAGGATTAGGAAATATCAAATCAGCTGTGCGATGCTGAAATGTTAACGTCCTGCCAAAGTGTTCTGTTTCAACAAGGCTAATTAGCTTTGGAGGGTGAAAATGATTATGGGGGGACATATGAGCTGTGCGCTAATCGACAGATGCTAGTGCTAGATCTCCTTCTGTGCACTAGATCATTCAAAAGGAAGTGCGGAGGGAGCAGCTGGATTTGCCACCAGCATCTCCCAGTTGCTGTGGCTATAATCCCCACTTGCTGGGGGGGGTGGTCCATTGGACTTTCTAGACAGTGATTACTTTCAAGGAGCCTAGGGAGGATGTTGTGCTCCATGGCCCACACACTTCCAGAGCTAGTAACAAGAGTGTGGCAGTGTAATGCTCCAGGGAATCAGGCTCAGTGAATAATAAGTTGGTGTCTGTTGCTTACGAGGCTCAAGGAAACACAAGGGACTAAGTGGGATTGACTAGCATTGAGCCGTATGGCTGCACTATGAGAGGGGATGCTACACTATCCCCAGCAGCTGGGAGTGCATGAAATGGAAAATGACTGATCATGGCTGATCTAATAGCTCCCGAGAGGATTCTTTTGTCTTTATTTGGTATTTAGTGCTGTAGAGGAAGGAAGGGTGAAGATTTATTTGAAGCATGCAGCAGATGTGACCATTTGCAGCCCATTCATAAAGGGGCTCACAATTGAAAATTTGCAACAATTTATGTGACAAGTTGTATTAAACCTTACAAAGTTTTTGGCTCCCAAGTTTGCACTCCTCTGAATGTGACACAGCATGAGCAGTATTTAAAAAAAATACTGGCTGGCTTTGTGTGTCTCAGAGGAAGTACATGTTACCCTTCAATCTCCCCAGTTGGTAGTTGTTGTATGATAGAGGAGAGCTGGCTGGTGGGAAGGAATTGGCAGGTGACAAAATTGGGGAGAAAAATGGGGGAAAAAAACATAAGTAAGACACGGCTCAGAACTTGTATAACATGAGAGATTGGCTAGATTTCGAAGTGCATGTGCTTGGGGGAAAAATCCTTAAAAAAAAGGTTACAAATTTCATGGTAAGGGGAGGGGATAGAGTTGTACCTTTTCCTTATGACTTGTTTGTATTAATTTATACAAAATCCAACCACATTAACATTGTTTGTTTAAATGTATACACATTTCTTATGAGATCGAATTGAGGTTCCTTCACCATTTTATGTGGCTCATTGGAATTTTGTTTTTCTACCGTTCTACTTCTGGTAGAACTGATGAAGCTCCCCAGATGATTGGAGAAACCTGTTCGAAATTATGCCACAAAATCTATTCTCTTTGCTTTACTTCTAGTAGCAGTAATTTCCAAAACCGTATCTTCTGTAATTTTCCCTGAGTCAGCCATTTTGTTCACTTTCTTTCAGCCTCTTCCCCGACATGCTGCATACACCTTTTGCAGCCAATAAGGGAAAGGCATGAAACCTGCTTACAGCACTACTTTTAAATCACTTTATTGCATGCTACACCAAGAAATGTCAATATAATTGTTGTCAGGGTAATGTAGTTACATGTCTTAGACTTTTCAGGAGAAAGGGGAAAATTGAGAGAAAGTGCAAATGCACAAAAAGGCAAGAAAACGTTATAATAAAATGTGTAAAATGCACTAAAATCTCAGAACAGTGTCTGTTTTTCCTCTAATGTTTTTCTTTTTTTTTTTTCCCCCAACTACAGTGACGCTAAGGACAGCGTTCACAGATCACAGCACAGCCTAAATCCTTCCAACTCATTTGTCCTTGGTGTTTAAAGCATTAAGCCAAAATAACATGCTTTTACACTGTGGTGTTTGATTTGGTGTCCTAAATGCATAATTTTCAGTTATTGTTGTTGACAGGGTGGGTTTTTTTCCCCATTTACTTGTATGGTAGGTCAAAGAGTGCACTCTGTTCCCTATATAGTGTACTATTTAAAAGAATTTACATTAGTTTGTCCAAATGTTGCACTATTTTCACAATATAGTGCACTTGTAACTGTTTCACTATATAGTGGACATTTACGTTAACGGTATATGCAAAACTGCATTTTATTCACTAAACATGTCACCGTATAGTGCCATATTTTGAGAGTTTTGCCATTTTGTAATCGTGTCCAAGAACATGGGTATTCAACTAAAATTTGGGAAGGCCCAGCTACATAAAATCCCTTGCTTTATAAAGGTCTGGATAAGCAACTATCATGACTGAATGATGACTAGGGTTGTAACTGAATATGAATACATAATTCTTATTGAACAAATAATGTGTTCTAAATGAATGTAAATAAAAAAAAAAAAAGTCATGCAAGTAAGGAGATTTATACCTTCACACTTTCATACTTCATAAGGGTGCAAGTATGAAGCTTATGGGACAAAGACACTTTTAAAATAAAAAAACATGGTTTTTTTGTCTATTGTCAATAGTTTGCTGCAGTATTTCTGTACAAACTGGCCTGAAATTCAGAAAAGAAAATAAACTTTGGGCATCTCTGCTGGAGTCTCCAAAAATAGAGACTTCTTCTGGCTGCTCCCATTAGGAGTTGCTACAGTGGATCATTGGTCCACATATTTGATGCCCTTCCTGGATGCCCTTCTTGATTCAGCCCTCCCCAATTTTATCCGGGCTTGGGACCGGCGCTGTGAGTGCACTGTCATGTGCGGATCCCTGGCCAGGAATTGAACCCGGGCCGTGGTGTTGAGAGGACTGAGGCCTAACCACTAGTCCTCCAGAGACCCAAAAATGATCTCTTAATTAATTTAAAAAAATTACCTTTCATTGAATGTTTTTTTTTCCATTTTTTTAAAGAATGTTTATTAAAAGAAAATCTTCCTGTTAAAATCAAAGGGGAAATATAATGTCACTTAAGTGCCAGTTTGACTCTCAGCAGCACTGCATCCCAGCTTTGTACCTCAAAGATTCTGATAGCGTGTCCACTGAAGGTTTCTTATCTTTCTGCAATGAACCAAACCCAAAAACTGAAGTAGATAAAACTGATAAAATATTATTAGATGGCAACTATAAACCACAGTTTCTTAATTTAGGAAAGACATTTTTAAAAGATAGTTCCCTAGCTAACTCAGTCACTTTAGAAAGCTTGCCAGAAAGCTACATAGGGCATCTGTTAGAGACCAATTATGATCTAGAGTGAAGTAGCTGAGGGACTGTACAAGTTCAGGAGTTGAGTAAAATTATTTTCTGCTGTTATAATATGTGAATGAAAAAAGACTTCATATTCCCAGCAGCCTGGGATTTTTTTCAGGACAGATAATGACATTGCATTACACCACTAATGGCAGCAATAATAATTAGTTTGTGGCTATGAATAAAACGGATTGATTTAAAGTAGTTATGTTTTCTTTTGCACTGCCATTTCATATTACCACTTTTGATTAGCACCACAGGCTCTGAACAGATCATTTTTAAACATTCCAGCTGACAAAGGATCTAGTATAGAAGCTACAAAGGTTTGTGCTTAGAAAACCGGACTCTCTGAACTACAGCCAGTTTTGTTTTCATACGCTGATTGGTTTTGCTACTTTTTTTTTTTTTTATTTCTAGTGCTGAAATGCACTGCTAGGTCCACATCCAAACCATGACCTGTCAATTGACAACCCCTGGTACACAGCGTAGTGGAGAACTCGTGCTCTAAAAAATTCCACAGTGCACTACAGGTTAGTATCCAAATCAGTACAGTATACTCATAATGAATAAGGAGTGCTGAATAAGGTGTAGGATACATATTATCTGCGTGACCCTTTTTAAAATCAGCAGGCACCATAAAATGAAGCCACTAGTTCACACCTTCTCCTTAACACTTAGTAGGAAGACAGAAATAAATGTGCTGTACCTTTGGTAACACATCTCAGTTCTTTCGACAGAATATTAAGTTTTAGAGGGACTTATCATCTACATTTACATCCTGAATTAGGTGAAAAACTGCTGTCGGTTTGTACTATTGTGGTGTTAATTGTTCTACGGGTAAGATTACCAAGAAGATGCAATAAATCAAAACCGAAGCATTTTTTGCATGTTCAAGTGAGTGTGAGAGTTGATTTATAAAGTGTCTGTTTTACAGATGGAGCAACGTCATCTTGATGAGTTTCGGCAGACTGTGAGAATGTGCAACAATGCAATGAAAAAAATATGGATTTTTCAAAATGAGACTATGTGAAAAATCTGTGAAATCTGTCATGTCTTGTTCCAGGTGACCAACCATGCTATATCACCTGCTGCAGCTATTAGTGCTGCCATACTGGAGACATATTAAGGCATTTCAGTGATTAAAAAAAAACTGTAATATGTGAGAATCAGTATATATGCAATGGGCAAACTTGTCCTTCCTCCTAATTTCTGCTCAGTTGCCACAGCAACAGCTCACTTAGGTGAAATTGTTCTAACCACAGTGTACCACAGTATCACTTACTGTATATAATAACATATTGCAGTACCCACAGGTGCATGGGAAGGTTTTAACTTGGGTAATTTCCACACAATATCTGCCAGGAGCCTGTTCATTAAGGTGAAGGGACACCTCAAAAATTTATAGGACATATGTTTTAAACAGAATGGGACGTTGAGCACCACTCAAAACCTGTAGTTTCAAAGAACAACAGATCTAGACTGATTTTGGGGGACGTTAATATTTGAGCATCGAAAGAAGCTAAACCATGCTGAGCCAGAAGGATTCGCAAATGCAAGTCCAGAAGATTATTTATTACATCTGGTATTACATCTGATATTACATTTAAAAACATGTATGTAAAGCAAAGATAAAAGACATTTTAAACATAGGTAAAGTGTCCTCCACAACAATCTAAGGGTCGTATCAGTTCTTACTCAGGGTAAATTTGCTTGTATTCAGAGTTCAATTATGCAGGAACATAAAACTATATGTACAGTAAACTTTCTCGTGTTACTATTCAGATTATACAAATCATCTGCGGGTAGTTCATGACCGATTGTCCTTGAGTAAAAGCATCCAAGATGGGGTTTTTCAATAGCGTCTACACCACCACCTTTAAACACAAGCACTTGTCTTTAAGCCACCTTAAAAAAAAAAAAAAACAGGAATGGGAAATGAGGACTGATGATGATAATAGCATTTTCTTTTTCCTGTACTGTCATATGCAAGACTATGCAATAGACAAATCAACAGTGAAAAATCAAAAACTCTAATACAGCGACATATGATTATTAACATTAACAGCTTATAAAATAGCACTTGATCCAGCACATCCTATTATTTTGCATTTTATGTTTTCATATTGCATACCATGAGGCCATGAGATACTAAATGGGGGTCAGGAAACTGTGAAATAGTGTCTGTGCATGATTCGTTCTTGATTTTGAGTTGTATTAATAAAAATCGTGTTTTTGCCAGGGTCTGATGATGGTTTGAAGGATAAGCTGACTGAGCACTCAGCTATTATTATGGGAAGAAAACACCATGGGTTTCTACACCACTTGAGTGGAATTGAAAAGTACTACTTGTACTCAGTTACAAGAAAAAAAAACACTTTTTTTATATATGTCAACAGTTTATGATTGTTGAAGTTTAGTAGATAATCTATACACACTCTATAGACTATCAGTTTGCCACTTGTTTTCTTGCACTTTACTAGTCAACTTTATGGACGTTGATGTTTAGTAGATCATCTATAGACTACCAACTTGCCAGAACTCATCCCAGGTCCTATCATAATTTTACAATTCACTTCAAGTAGCCTGTATCATTTTACTGATACATTTTATGACACGTTTATCAACATGTTAATGGATAAACATTGCTGTATATCATGAGAGGCTTATTTACACTCTAATTTAACATAAGTTATTTACACCTTTTAAACCCTTTTAAATCTCAGTAATCTTGGGTCCAAAATGAGCTATCAGGTTTTAAAAATCATCCACATTTCAGGTCCTTTAAAGGTTGAGGAAGGGAAAGGCAATAAGAAGACAATCTGCACAAGCCATGATTAATAAGGCTTTAAGAAAAGTCTTATTAATGCCACATCATTAGCATACACAAACATGTTGTCTAATTATACAGCAGCTGTGCCACACATTAAAAAAAAAAGTAACTTCTAGACTTCACTGACCTCATTAGTGTGAGCAAACAAAAGTAACTTGTACACTATGGCAGTCACAGGTGAGAGAAAACCCATGAGAAAAATAATTGTAGCTCAGCATGGTTTTACAAGGCTGTCATTTTAGAGCGTGAATGAAAAGGACCCTTTAATAATGTAAGAGTTGGTGTTGTAATTACCCAGTAGTTTACCTTCTATAACAATGTTAAAATAATCTGATTAACCTTCTAAATTTCAAATGCCAGGTTGGTACTTGCTGTGTTTTCAGAAAATTAACCTGAACCAATAAATCATAGTCAGTTTGGTACCACTTCACGTAAGGGTAGAGTTCTTAGAGCTACAAGATTGCATAAGCTCTTCATGGCAACTGGCATGAAGTTCAAAAGTTACATCAATATTAACATGGTGACAAGTACTTCATATTTAGAGTTGGGTTATGCAGATGGTTAAGCTGAATTGCCTAGCAGCCCATTCAGATGATTAGCATTACTTGTGTGTAGTTCATCCCTCCAAGGTTTGCAGATTTGCCTTGAGTAGAAATGTTAGAGACAGTGTTTTTCAGTATGCTCAAGACCACCTCCTTGTAACACTTTCCTTTAAGGCCAAAAAAAAAAAAAAATGTCAGAGGCATATTCCTATTTTGAGCTGTTGAATTAATGAAATAATGCCAATGTTTTTGTTAATTCAGTGTGTGCTATTGTAGAGAATATTTGCCAATAGTTTGAAGAAAAAGCTGACCTAGCACTTACATCTATGCTTACAGCTCACTTTAATTGTTATTCTTAAATGTATCCATAATGAATTAATTACTCAAGATAAGCAGTGTCTCTAGTTGTCTAAGATGTTGTCTCCTCTGATGTCCTTTGTACAAAAAAAATCTTTTGTAGACAATATTGTTAATTAAATTAGTTTAATATTTATATGTTTGATATTGGCCTCACATGACATTCCATGTATATTTTCAGATGGCTGCTCTGGACTTTAGACTGCTCCTTGCTCAGGTTGATCATTTAGGCTTTTGCATATATATATATATATATATAGATATAGATATAGATATATATAGATATATATAGATCAGCCATAACATTAAAACCACCTGCCTAATATCTAATATTGTGTAGGTCCCCCTGGTAAGTGACGCACACACCTGGCCGTCCACATGATGTAAAAGAAAACATGATTCATCAGACCAGGCCACCTTCTTCCATGGTTCAGTTCTGCTGCTCCTGTGCCCTTTGTAGGCACTTTTAGTGGTGGACGGAGTCAGCACGGACATTCTGACGGGTCTGCAGCTATGCAGAAATCGGTGATGCGCTGTGTGTTCTGACACCTTTCTATCATAGCCAGCAATTTGTGCTAGAGTAGCTCTTCTGTGGGATCGTACCAGATGAGCTAGCCCATGGGCACCCATGACCCTGTCGCTGGTTCACCGGTTGTCCTTCCTTGGACCATTTTTGGTAGGTACTATCCACTGCATACCGGGAGCACCCCACAAAACTCACCATTTTGGAGATGCTCTGACCCAGTCGTCCAGCCAACACAATTTGGCCCTTGTCAAAATTGTTCAGATCCTTACCCTTGCCCATTTTTCCTGCTTCCAACACATCGACTTTGAGAACTGACTGTTCACTTGCTGCCTAATA